GACACCCTAAGAGGTACTTGCTTACTCTCTGGTAGCACTTTTAGATTTGTGACACCCTAAGAGGTACGACGAGCATCCCTTGCCTTCTCCAATCGGAGTCCCCCCACCTGGGGTTGATGACATCAGTATTGGTACTGGAGTGTTGATCGACTTGTTTGTAATTGTTTTTTGGTCATGACATTATGAAAAGCAGCAACCAGTTTTTGATTATTTTTCTGATTTACTTTCAGTGAGCAAGCCTGCTACAGTAATAGTATGCCAAGTCACTAACCAACCGTACGAGGGCATTTTTCGTCACCGCCGATGCTTAGTAGACAACCCGAACATTGGAAACAAAAACACGGTCTGCGAGACGCATACTGACCCTTATCGAAGCCATTTAGAGTTGGATAGAGTAGTTAAGAATACTAATTGTGCGCCTGGACACATCTGCTGTGAGGGTTACACAATGGAACAAAAACCGGAAAGATTACCAATTCTTAATAATCCTAACCACTGACAAACCAGAGTCGGACGGCTGTTGTAAAGCAACGACAATCTTTCTGTGCTGATAAGTCAGAATAAAGTGTTAGCATAACTTGTTGTTAATATAGCYGTTGGTTCGACTCCATGAACATTACTATTACTCTTCCCAGTGGAAAGAGGCAGTTGTGATCTTTTATCGCCTTCATAGCGTCTCTTATGTGCATTTCAAATCGACCACGTGATGCCAATGCTGTACCACGTGTACAGTTTTTTTTTACACCACGTGACGGAAAGTCAAACTTTTAAGAGTAGTAGCGATGTTATTTATTCCCTTACAGTGCAACTAATGTCACCGGGGCCACTTAGGCTGCGTTCATTATGTATACCGCAGGGGGGGGGGGTGCAGGGGGGGGGGCAGAGGAAATTTCAAAAATACTCGAAAATTTTAAGATCCCCCCCCTTAATGTCAAAAAAAGTTGTACCCCCCCCCTCCCACCTACATACCTAAATACAATCACTTCTTTGTCCTGATACCTACACATTTCTATGCAAGCCATTGTGATGACTGGTAGCGAAAGCTTGCTATGACTGTCTTTCTGATCGCGATACATACTGAACTGGAAGAGGAATATCGGTTTCCATTTCCTCCTCGACTCGCTGTCGACTAGTGCCACTACCTCATCATCGTCTTCACTATCACCGTCTGACTTTCATAATCACAATCATTTTCGTCTTCATCTTCGTCATCATCGTCATAATCATACACTCCTGAATCAATATCAGCATCCTAGACAATGATCTCAAGCAAAGACGTCAAAGGCTGGTTAACGTTGACAAAATCTCTGGTGTAAAGAGTGGATGTGAGGAGGAGCACCAGTACATAACTTCCTGTATCAGAAAGCTACAAGAACAATTGAAGAGCCTCCACACAATACAGTAATGATTTAACCAATTCCCATCGTACACTATCTCGATCTAGACTGAGTAGATCTCTAAGCTCCAGTGAAAACGCTCGCTTAAAGCGTAGAAAGAAAGAAAACAACAGAAAGGCCAAAAGGCAGCCACAGAAAAGGTTGGAAAAGAGGGCAAGAGAAATACTTGAAAGTGTTATCAAAGATGAAGACGAGAGAAAAAAATTGATTACCCACATTTCCAGTGGAGAGATAGTACTCGTTCCAAGTCAACTTCAGATGTCCTAAAAGAAAGATATCAATATGCAAGCATTGCAACTCCTCAAGCCCAAATTTTAGGGATTTGGCGTTGTTTTGTGATGAAGCTCTCCAACATGTTGAGTTTGTAATACATGGACTTGAAGGAAAGTCTAATCCCACTATTGATGATGACGATGATGATGATGACAATGATGATAATGATGATGACAATAGTGATAAAATTGAAGAAGATGATGATGATCAAGATTACAATGTTATTTAAATAGTGGTGTACAATTATCCTGTTCATTAAATTTCTTGTT